AGCCTATGAGGGGAGGATCAATGTGTGCCAGGGCTGCTGCAAGCTGGTGACATGGCCTGGCTGCAGTGGACATGACTGAGTGGCTGACAAGCAAGAGGAATAAAAGTAGTTACCTAACAAAGAAAGGGCTCTCAAGAGAAATTCTGGGAGAGTTGATGCATCTAAAACCTTCACAGTCTCTGTGTAAGGAGGAATTGTCTTAGATACCAGCCCAGAACATTGCTGTGGTAGGGTACTGTAAAGTGCAAGACTGAAATGAAGTCAGCAGACACTGGAGATGGTTCAGTGTATTGTAGATAAGTTCTGAGGAGCAGTCTGGCTGCTGTGTGCTTGGACAGGGAGCTGTGGAGGAGGACTGCACTGTTGCCTTCCTCTTGCACTTCAGTGAGCCCTTCAAATAGATTTAAAAGCTATTGACCCACCTCTGGGTAGTTGTGGAATGAGGCTTTTTGGCTTCAGTGAGAGTTAGCAGCTGACATTAGTCCTTAGGACTGGGGAATCTGACCATCTGGGGGTGGGCAGAATCTGAGGAATCTTTAGTGCTTCAAGGGAGCTGACCTGCAAATGATGACAAGAAATTATCCACCAGCTGCTTCATTTAAATCCAAAATTACATCTTTATTACCTTGTTTAAAGGAATGAATGAACTAAGTGAACTTGTGCAGTTCCCAGAATATCATGATGGCAAGTAATTACAACCCTACAATGCAAGGATCTGGAAACTGATGCATCACCCAAATTTCATGGAAAGTTAATGACAGTAATTCTGCCTTTATTTGTGAAATGCTGTCTGTGCAGTCATTAGTGCTTAATGGGGAAGAAATATGGCTCTCGAAAGGACAGTGGCATCTTTTTAAAGACAAGAAAAAGAACAAGAGGGCAAGGCTGTTTGGTAAATGCACTAATTGTGCTGTGGCCTTGGCATCTTTCAGTGTCCAGTGTGCAGGTGTGGCCGGGACCTCTCAGCCTCTTGGGCCAGTGATGGATTCTTCCTCCTGCTGTACGTTGGGAGCTATCCTTGAAATGCACCATTGGTGTTGTTGCCTCAGTCAGCTATTTTCTGTATTTGACGTATGTGTTCTCCAAATGTTTATAGCCCAAAATGCTCTAATTGTTACTAATTTATTCGATTGATATCTCAGGACAGCATACAGTGATTATAACCAAGAGCAGGACAGGTTAAGGAGCCAACAAAGTTTGACAGAAAAGCCATCTTTATTCCCAGTTGTATCCTTTTTTAATCTACACATAGTAAATGAAGCAGTGTCCTTGATTTTTTTCCTTTCAGTAATATCTGTTTATCACTCCTAGGCCAATGATTCAGGAGAAGATCAAAGTGCTGGGTGAAGCTGGTCTTTCAGAAACCAATTTCTCTGAAACAGCTGAGTCAACTAATTACTGTCCTAAGGTAATTGACCTGAAAGAATATTGGTGGTCCCTGGGAGAGGCTGAATGGGCTTTGGCTTGTGTACATCTAGATTGGCACAGGTGACCTTACACCTGTTCTACCTGTTCAGACCAGATTGTTCAGCTCCTCCCAGGATCCATGCCTTGGCTTGGACTCTCCACAGAAGTTCCAAGCCTGCTACTTGCAAGGAGACCTGTTAGCATCCATGTCATACATATGTCTTTGAGTATGTAGTGTATGAGATACATATGGGTGTGTATCATGTGAGGTATGATCTGTACACACATGTGCACTGTGTAAGGGATTGTCCTCTGATTTTGCTCACCATGTTTTACATGACCATGTGGATGCAGATCCTGTTCTTTTCTGTTTCCTCAGACGGATCCAAAGCAGAAGACAATCTATGACCTTTTCCAGAAGACCTTCTCTGAGAGCAGAGATGATGCTGATGATGTGTTGTTTTTGGAGGCAGCTGATGCTGGCTGTGAGTTTGACTCTGGCAGTGCCTTGCAAGACAGAGAAGCAGAGGCATGTTCAGTGAGTCCCAAAAAAAAGCGGCGTATTGAGGAAGTGTAAATGGTGACAGCTAAAAATAGCAGCTTAGAGATTATTTTTTTATTAAAAAAGAAAAACCAAAAGGAATCACATATTATTTTTTCGAATTTTTGAAAATAAAAGACTTGAAATGTTCTGTATCTCTGGGATGTTTCATCTCAAAGGATGAGAAGGCAGACTGACAGTGTGACAGATGTGCAGCACACACCTGGAAGCCTGCAGGATTTGCAGTCCTCGTTTTGCTGATGACTGAATGGACATGGGCAAGTATCATTCTGCTGTGTTTCAGCATGTCAGCTTCCACAGTTGTTTTGTTTAAAAAGCAGATAATGGTTATCTGTCCCCAAGGCAGAACTCTTGAGAAAACTAACTCATCAGCACCTGCAGAGTGCTTTTAACAATGTTTTCCAGTCTGTATTTCTAGGAGTTTGTTCACTGGCAAATTGGGCCATTACTTGGATCACTCACAGACTGGCTCTTGGGTATTCCATTTGGCCATGAGGAAAAAAGATCCAAACAGATCTTGATGTTTTGTGGAGGTGGGGAAGAGGAGGGAAAAGAGGAAGTTACCACCTTGAGCTAAGTAATGTAGCTGTGTGCCAGTAAATGTGCATTGCCTGTTTTAGGTACATGTCTGCCTCTGCACATTCATCTCTGGCCTCATGCTGAATATTAGGACCTGCTCCATTGGCAGGAGCTTCTTCTATCAGTGGAGGGTGAAGCTTGTGCTGACTGCCAGGGATTAACCCTGACTTCTCAGGGAGGTGGGGTGGGTGGGTGGGTGTTTTCTTCAAGACTTGACTGATTTCTACAGGTGAATGATGAGAAGGGGACACAGGCAGACTTTTGCTCTTGTTTTGTGAGAAACTGATTGTGGACTGAACTGTTTAAATAAAAAAATTGTTCTGAGTTGTGTACCAAGCTTTTGGTACTTTATCTATCTTAGCATTCCATCTCCCAGTTAGCTGTGTTTTACAGCTGTAATCTGTAGAAGAGGTGGCAAACTGCAGGCTTACATTTAGCTCTTGGAGGCCAGTAGCTAACGTGCTGTGGAGGTGATGTGCTTGGCTCTGTGCAGGTACCAGACACTGACAAAAATACCTCTCTTGCAAGGCAGAGGAGAAAAATGTTTGTGCTGTAATATCAACCTGGTAACATTAGGTACTCTTTCCTGCATTGAAGGGTTTGATTGTTCCATTTTCAGCTGGTGAGGTCACGGAAATGCCCCACAGGCTGCGTGTACAGTTTGGAGAGCTGCATTTCATTCGTGCCTGCAGATAGTGCTTTGGGGTGTGAGCAGTAGCAAGGGGTGCTGTGGCTGGGCAGCTGGAGGAAATGCTTTATCTCTGGGTTTGAGGCTGAGAGTTACCATCACTGCTCTTACTTCAGCAGCTGGCCAGGTGATGAAGACACGCTTTTTGGCATTTGAAAATGTCTGTCATCTTGAACACAGAGTATTTAATCTGTCTGTAGGATGAGTGATCTTCCTACTTGCAAAGTGGGTTGTTCTGAGTAAGGGGTGAGAAATGTTGCTGTCTGTTGACTGAAAAACAAAAATGCAAAAGGCATTATTTGGGTGCCCATATTGTTGTCTCCTATAGGAGTAGTTCTCTGTAAAGCTACAGCTGCTTCAAAACAGTACTTTCCTAAGATACACTGAAAGTACCCTTGGAAAATTCTGCTTCTTATTAACTTGATCCATCTTGTCTGTATGTTGATAAATCCCAGCCCTGCTAGAGGAATGCCAGGTGAACCTTCCCTTTGTTAGGACATATAAAATTTCAGCTGGTTTGCTGCCCAGATACAGAGGTTTTTCAAATACACCTGAGATCCACTTTTTATCCTTACTACATGAAAAAGGGGAGAAGAAGCTTCCAGGAAAGTGCTGTTAGTGATTACTTCAAGGGACTGGAGAGACTGCAGGCCTTACCCCAATGGCACCATTAGTCCATCATTTGTGTGGTGAGGAGGTGGCTGGGCAGCTGGCAGCAGGCTCAGACAGGAGCCTGGTTTGCTGAAGAACCTCTACAAGGCAGTGTGCAGGATGGGACCCGCAGCAAGCTCAGGAACATGGAGCACTCCTGGGCCTCTTGCACCTGCCAGCTGAAGATGACAGAGCTGTATCTTTTTGGCATTATCTAAAACCAGCAGAAGAAAGGGAAGGACCCATCTCACTGATCTGGAGCATCTTACTGTGGCTGGTTGCCTGCTTGTACACCTGCATCAGTGCTCCCACCTCTGTTGGAGAAAGCTGTGTTTTCAAGGAGGATGCTAAAACAGCAACAACAGGTTAAAATACATCAACAATAAACTGAAAAGTTCAAGGGGGTGGACTATCAAGGCATGGCTGTGCTGGGCCTGTGTCCTTCTCAGTCCCTTGGAAATAAATGTGTGTTTACTTTGGCAGTGCTGGGAATGGCTGTCACCCAGGGTGGCTGGGTTTGGTTGTTGCCAGAGTTCTCTGTGACACCGGTAGGTGATGGATATGACCATGTGCTGCACTGTCACAGCAAACCTGAACTCGGTAGATACAGACCAGAGAATAGCAGTAGATTCTCTGGATGTGTTGGCTGACAATTTATATTTTTTTAACCATATCGTCACTAGGCAGCCAAAGGAAATTACTTTTTTCTGTTTTTTAATACACTGGTATCAAAGCTGTATCCTGTGAGTCATCATTGTGACGAGGATCTGAAAAGGGCAGATTTATTCGTAGGATATATCAAATGAAATTTTGATTCAGCTGAGGGAGATATAAATACCATTGCCTAAAGCCTTGCTGAGCCCTCATCTCAAACGTTCCTCTGGCCCACCAGCTCCCAGAAGAGCCTGGCATGACAGAGGGCATTAAAAATGTCAGTGTTCAAACCCTCAGAGGAAGAGCCAAGAAGGGATGTGACATCTGTCGTCCATGAGCATCTCTTAAAACTACAGACCCCAGCCAGGGAAAGTAACACAGTGGGTGGGTACATTCGATTCCTTGATTCCCTCTTAGCTAAACTGCAAGTGAAGAGTGCTGTCATTGCTGGAGGCAGCAATGGGTGGGTATGGAGGAAAATTACCTGCAACAATTACCTGGGGACTGGGAAGCTCCGGCCCTCTCCTGGCAGGAGGGGATGGACCGGAGCGGCCTCTGCGCATGAAAAAGCTCTCAGGCTAACTAGATTACATTTCTTAATGTAGGTTAATGAGTTGCTAATCCCTCTACAAGCATTGCAGCTCGGTGGCACTGCTGTATTTTTCCCTCTGTGTTTTGGTGCTGGGAATCGCCTCTGAAACGGCACACAACGGCTTTCAGGGCTGCTGGTTTCAGCACAGGCTAACCCCGAGGAAGTTAGGAAGTTGCTTTGACCTGACCTGATGCCCTATCTCTTGAAACCTCACGGTTTAGGGCTGGTATGTTTTATTATACGAATTCATCCTCGTTGATTTTTATATTTACTTTTTCTGCAGTTCTGGGCACGTTTTCTGTCCCTGTTTTGACCTACTGCTTATCCTCTTTAAAAACGAGGTGAGTGAATGGAACTACCCCGTTTCCTTTTCTGCTGTGACTTCCCTCGCTGGAAACCCAGGAATGTGAGCTCCGGCGGTGCTGCCGCCCATGCACCGCCTGGGTCTCACAGCGTTCCACAGGAGGGGTCAGGCTGAAGGGACTGCGGTGCTCATCCGCTCCAGCCTCCCTGCTCGAGCAGGACCCTGGCGGAGCACACGGCAGTGTCTGCAGTGGGGGAGCCCCCACACACCCTCCGAGCAGCAGCGCAGGCGCCTCGCTCGGCCGGCTGGCTAGCTGTCTGTCTGTCCGTCCGTCCGTCCTGCGGGCTGTATTCCGTCCCGCTGCGCTACGGCCGCGGCCAGGCCCGACCGCCCAGGGCCGGCACCGCCCGGCTCCCGGCGTCACTTCCGCCCGCGCCGGCCCGCCCGCGCCTGCGCACTGCCGCTCCCTCTCCGCGTCGGGGCCGGCGAAAGATGGTGAGTGAGGCCGGGCCCGTCCGCCGCCATCTGCCGCCATCCGCGCCGGGACTGCCGCGCTGAGCCCGCGGGGCGCGCCCGGGGCAGCGCGGAGCTTGGGCCGGGGATGCGCCGCGTCCCCGAGCCGGCTCCGCGCTGCGCTGCGACAGCGGTTCACTCGGTTCGGGCGGCCGGAGGGAGGCGGCCTGGGTGAGGGGAATGGCAGCCGGGGCGCGGGGACAGAGGGGCTGCAGCGCTCCGTGCCACCGCCGTATGGCCCCGGGACGGACGGGGCTCTGCTCGGTCTCGGCGGCCCCGGGTGCCCGGCAGGAGCTGCGGGGCTGCGGCAGCGCCAGCCCGGTGGCCTTTCATCGCTAATGCTCCAGGGGAGGGCAGCGAGGAGGATTGGAGGACTGGAACGGCTCTCATGAGCACAGGCTGAGGGAGTTGGGCCTGTTCAGCCTCAGAAGTGGCCACTGATAGGGAATCTCATTCTATAAATACATATAATTTAATACTTAAAATAGTGTACGGATATTATCTCTTCTCCTGTCAAGAGGCAGGAGCCCGGCTCTTCTCGGTGGTGCCAAGCCGTAGGACAAACTGGCAGACACCGATGCACAGCAAGTACCACCTGAGCACGGGGAAGAACTTTGCTGAACCGAGCACTGAGAGGCTGCGCAGAGAGGGCATTAAGTGTCCCTCAGTGCAGATACTCGGGAACCGTCTGGATGCAGTCCTGTGCCATGTGCTGCGGGCCGGTCCTGCTGGAGCAGGGAGGCTGGACCAGGTGGTCCCTTCCAGCCTGACGCTGTGAATACTCAGTTTTCCCAGGCTGCAGGGAAGGCTGTAGGGTGCTCTGCCCTCAGCTGCCATGCTGGGAGAGGGGAGCAGCGAGGAGAAAGCTGTCTCTGTAGAGCTGAAGCTCATTCTGGTTTGCCTCCCAACAGGCCAAGCGCACCAAGAAGGTCGGGATCGTGGGTAAATATGGGACCCGTTACGGTGCATCCCTTAGGAAAATGGTGAAGAAGATTGAAATCAGCCAGCATGCCAAGTATACCTGCTCCTTCTGCGGCAAGGTGAGAGATCTCCTTCCCCCCCAAAAAAGTCTTCAAAAATCACATTGGTGTTGATGCTAGAGAGGGGATTTGATGCATCAGTAATTTTTGTAGTGAAGAAAAACGTGCCTAGTTCCAAGACAGGGACTGGTGTGTAGTGAGCTTTAAGCTGCTGTCAGAGTCCTTGAAAAAGAGAGTAGACATTTCACATGAATGTTTAGTAGTAGTTAAATGAAAACAAACATTATTATGTTTCATGATGCAAAAGAGGGAGCAATGTTGCCATATTATATTTTACATAATTAATAAAATAGACCTGACAGAATTAAAGCATCACAGTTGTTATATTGATAATTAAGGCTTAACTTGGACTTTTTTTTGTCCTTCAGTAACTTTTTACAGCATACCTGGCAGAGGAACAGAGTTTGCTTTTCCCACTTTAAACTTCTGATGGCAATTGCTGCTTTTGTGTGCTGTATAACTCTGGATGAGGAAGAATTTCTGATAGGAAGTAATCTTAACTCTGTACATAGTTCAAGTTTGCTGTTAAATCTAGTTTTTGACAGTTTGAAAGGTCCATCACCTTATGCTTTGCACAGATATTTTTATTGCTATCTGTAGAGTAGGAATCTTAAAACTGTCTGGAAATGTAAAAATATTTTCATCATGGTGTTTTTACTTGCTCTGATTTATTGTTGGGTTTTTGTTTGTTTTTAGCTTACTGCCTTTCATATATGAAGTGAGAATGTTCATAGTCTTGCCTGCAGAGCTGCCTAAATCAGGCATAGGTGTGGGCAAACCTATTGTCACCTCTGCAGGGTGAGGGATACCTGCCTGGGGGAGGGAGTTCTGTACCCACCACTCACTCTTCAGATCTGGGTCTGGGTTGAGCAAGCTGAGCTTGCCCAGGGAGTCCTGGGAACAGTGGGGTTACATGAGCACCAAACCAGAGAGAATATCAGTAGTTATAACCAAGGTAGCTCCTTACTATTTTTCTCCTTCAGGATAAGCTGAAGTTTTGATGAGGCCTTTAGAAATAACCCAGTTCATATCTGAATGGAAAAGTGTTTCACAAGTGCCTGCAGAATTTGAGTAAAAGGATTGTCTGTCCCTTTCTTGTCTAAACTTAGCTTATAGCAGTGCTGTGAAGGCCTTACCTGAAGTTTCTTGTTTGGCTTTTTCAGCTGATGGAGAGTGACTTTATTTTTTTCCTTTTTTCTTCTGTTCCAGACCAAAATGAAGAGGAAGGCTGTGGGTATCTGGCACTGCGGGTCCTGCATGAAGACAGTTGCTGGTGGTGCCTGGACTTACAAGTAAGGAAATAAAGAAGCTCTAACCAGTATTTATTCTCACATAGCTGTGGCATAATACAGCTTTTGACTTCTTTTTTTTTTTTTTTTTAATTTTGATCTACTAATCATTAAGTAGATCTGTCTTGAGATAGTAATGGGGGAAGTTGCCTGTTTTGTTAAAATTTGGTTGCTATTCTTTGCAATAGGCAAAGCCAGATTTATTCCAAGAAAAATTATTTTAATGTTTTCCATTGGTTGTAAAAGCAAAAAAAATGAGTTATAATAACCTTTATTGTGAGGGTGCAGTTGCTTCCTCCCGTTGTTTGCTCCTTGCCCCACAATTCTGTAGAAAACACTCCTGCCCCACGCGCGTGTAGCAGTTGTGAGGGACCTGAGCCCACACGTTGGTGCACGTGGTCAGTGCATGACTGGGAGATTGGGGTTGGGATGCAGCCTCTGAAGTTCCATGTGCTTTGTGGAGCCAGGCCTACGCTGTGTTGTGAGGAAAAATTAAACTCAAAGTGGAGTTAGACCCTGTTTGACAGCGCAGTCAGATGATAACAGTTGGAAATGATAAGTGCTTTCTCAAAAATAAACAACACCAGCACAGTTGTTCTGCCACATGCAAATGACTCTGCTTCTCCCTCCAGTACCACCTCTGCAGTGACAGTCAAATCTGCCATCAGAAGACTGAAGGAACTGAAAGACCAGTAGAAGCTACTTCCTGTTCTCCTTGTGAAACATCCTTTTTCCTCCACTGTCAAGACCTATCCTTTTATCAATAAAAGAGTGATGATGGAGTGGAATAATGTTTGTCTTTTCTGTCCTGTCTGTTATGTATGGTGAGTGCCAGGTGCCCACCAAAGCTGCCCCATCACTGCCTTCCTCTACTGGACAAGGGAGGGAAAATAGAATGAAAGGTCTGTGGGGTGAGATAAGGGCAGGGAGAGATGCCTCTCACCAGCTACTCATGGGCAAACCAGATCTGATTTGGGGAAACCAGTTTAATTTATGACCAGTTGTATCAGAGTAAGATAATGAGAAATTAAACCAAATGTTCATTCCAGTCACCCCTCCCTTCCCAGCCTCAGCTTTACTCTTGGCTTTCTTGCCCTCCCCAGCAGCTGCACAGGGGGAAGAGGAATGGGGGCTGAGTCCATCACATGCTGACTCTGCTGCTCCAGCTTCCTCAGGGGGAGAGCTGCTCTCAGTTCCTCTGCTCCAGCACAGGTCCCTCATGGTGTCACAAGTCCTGCTAGCAAACCTGCTCCAGCATGGGCTCCTGGGCTCTTCTCCACAGGGCACAGGTCCTGCCACAGGCCAGCTCCACTGCAGGCTTCCAGCAGTGTCACAGCCTCCTTTGGACAGCCCTGCTGCAGCATGTAGCCCTCCATGGGCTGTAGGACTGGGATGGCAGATGCATTTTAGAATAATTTGGTTGCCATGGAATGGCGGAGCTATGTAGCTGTTCTGGTTAGCTATAGAAATAGCACCATAAAAGTGTAAAATACATAAGCAAATAATGGAAAGAAAAGAGTAAAATATGAAAAATACCACCACCCATGGATCCAATGACAAGACTTGATTGTGGGTGACTTCAGTGTCCCTTAGTCAAGGTGATGGTCACAGTCTTTGTCTGTGGGAGGTGGGGGAGCCCCTGAAACACAAAAATTCACTGGGTTAGTATCTTCAGGTGTGGTGGGAATGCCCAGGTTCCTTCCCTGAAGGAGGTGGGGTTTCCACTGTTGGATATAACATTGTGGGTCAGGTGCAGTCCAGGCCCTAAATGGGTCTGGGGGTGCTTCGGGGGTCTTTGATGGTTTATGACCAAGCCATGACAGCTCCCTCACATCATCGTCGCTGAGGCAGGAACGAATGCTGTCACAGCGTGCATGTGAATGTCCCAATACCTTCCAGGGGAGGGGGAAAGGGAGGAGGAGTTTTACATCTCAGCCAGTGGTGTAAGGGAGGACATTTGCATGATAAAAAGCATTTTCCCATCTCACAAGATCTGCTTAATGCCCTTCTCCCTCATCTGGCTCAAAACCAGTTTGTGGCTAAACAAAAGTTGGTTTAAAGTCCTGCACCTCACCAGCTGCTTTTGGAAAGGCTGATTGTTTTCGTCATTAACCTTAAAATTTCAGTCTCTCAAAGGTGCCTGGAGCATCTCCTGTTTCTGCTGCAGTGGCCTGGGTACCTGCAGACCTGCTCCTCTCATACTCTCACTGCCCTCTCTGGCTGCAATTGCTGTTTGGGGTTTTTTCTCCTTTAATCTGTTAGCCCAGACACTACCATCGCTGCCAATGGGCTCCTCCTTGGTGAGTGGTGGGTCTGTGCTGGAGTGGGCTGACATTGGTTTTGTCAGACACAAGGGAAGCTTCTGGCAGCTTCTCCCAGAGGCTGCCCTGTAGCCCTCCCACTCCCAAAACCTTGCCATGCAAACCCAGTGCACTGCTCTGTATTTATAGGTGTAACTATGGAGACACTAGCAGTGCTATCCAGTAGTTTGAGTGGCCCTGGTTACTGGTGAAGCCATTAAAAACCATTTTCCTTTCTAGTTAATTGCACATTTTGGTGCTTGAATGCAGTGAGGTGAATCTGAGGAAAGCTTAAATAACTTGAAGAAGCTTGGCTCATCTTGGTACGTCCTTCACATCTTTGCCTCGAGGAATAGAGTAGAGCTCCATGAGTGGAGGAATGGGCAGATGTAAGGGGGGGAAGAGAGAACATGTAAAACATCTCTGCCTTTTCCCATTTCCTCAAGGAACTGAGCCATGTGCTGCAAGATGGCTGGTGCTGCTAATCCTTCAGCACCACCCACAGATCGCTGTGTACCATCGCCTGTGGCGTGTTCTGGTGTGTGCAGATCTCGGGGTTGGTCCACCTGAACACTTTGCTCCCTGGTCTGGTAGCAGGCTCTCGTGTCTGGATGTTTGAGTCACCTAATCCACACTGAGTTGCAACAATAAATTTTCATGTTAAGCCAATTGGACATTCAGTCTTGGTGAAAAAGCTGCTGTTTGAGTTAATAATTGCTTCCAAATAATCAATTTAAACTGTCAAGATGCTGGAATATCTTTTATGGTCTGACTTGTGAGTTTCAATTTGGTTTTATCTGGGCGTTTTTTGGTGGCTGTATCTCCCATCCCTAGCAATACAGGTCAGAAAACAAAAATCTTGTTAATAACTTTGGTTATTAACAAAATTTATAAACAATTTTTTCTGCTGGAGGAAAAATAGCAAGGAAGTAGCAGAGGGGTTGCTTATTTTTATTCCAAATAAGGCTTTACATGGATTTGGGGAGTGATAAGCCACAGCAATAATGATTCATTAATGAGCCTGACATCTTCAAAAGATTAATTCAAAGATGGAACTAAGTAGGAACTTTTTCCCAAGTTGCAAAAAGTCTGTGGCTCACAAGTTTGACTTCAGTCACCTGAACTTGTTTTCCAAACTTTTCATTTTTCCTTTTAATTCGGTGCTTCAAACTTCCCTTACTAAAGTCAATTCATGTATTCAGGTATCTGGTGTCATTCATATCAATCTGTATATCCTCATATCCCAACTGGCTTGGTGGTGTAACCACTTCCCTGGAAAGCCAGTTGCAGTGCCCCACCACTCTCTGGGTGAAGAACCTTTTCCTAATGTCCAGCTTAAACCTCCCCTGACACTTAATTACGTTCCTTTGGGTCCTGTCACTGATCACTACAGAGATCAGCCCCTGCCCCTCTGCTTCCTCTCATGGGCAGGACAGTGTGGTTCTGCACATTGCGTTTTATTCTTGCTTCAGTGTGCTTGGGTCACATTTCCAGGTGGTGAGACATGACTCTGCACACCTCTGTGCTTTCTGCATTAATGCAGAGGTCGTAATTGAAGTACAGGTTTCTGATGAAGCTTTCTCAACTGCTCTGAAGTATGAATGGCTATTCATTAACAGATGCAGAGGATATGTTTCACTGTGTTGATACCCCAGGATGGCTGCACAGGTATCTTATCTGAGACGACTTCTATTCCTACTAAGGAGGTTATTAGTTCCCTTTGGATTAATATTTGCAGAGGGTGGAAGCTGGGCAGGGTAGAAATACAAAGAAAAGATAAGGATGTGAGACGATCTTTTTGACCTGGATTGTGTGGTCCTACCTACATCCCTGTGGGATGGGCTGTGCCCGCAGATCCCCTGGGCTTCTTGTGCCGTGGTACCCCGGCGTGCTCCTCGGCAGAGGCCTTTCGTGTGGGTGAATGTTCGAGGCTGCCAGTGCCATTTCCCCGAAGTGAGGCGGGCAGGAGGAGGATGCGCTGGCAATGCTGCGAGCGGCCAGCGGGCGCCACTGCCGCTCTGCTGCGGGGCCGCTGCATCGCCCCGGCTTCGCTGCATCCCGCCCGGCAGCGGCTCCGCGCACCTGCGCTCCGGCCACAGCTGCTCCGCTCAGCGGCTCCCGCTCCCCCCAAAACACACCATGGCACTCTTTTCGATTGTCCGCCCATAGGAATGGGCAGGTTGGACATGAGGGTTTTGTAGTCATTTGTCACCACTAGCAAAGCTGCATCTGTGTCAGTGCTCAGTCCAAATGCTGTGTATATACTAGGAGAAATTTGTATTGACAACTAAGTGATTCAGCCAGGTGATCCTCGGAATTTGGTGTTTCCTCTGGGAATCTAGGGTGAAAACAGGAATTCTAAACAATATTGCTTACTGCTTTCAGTACATTTGCTGTTAAGCCTTAGTCAGGAACTTGGATAGAGTTGTCTTAGATGCTGTAGCAACAGAGAGCTGATACCTGTCCTGGAAGGTGTGAGCTTATGGCAATGCCAGACCCATCTGGATTTCAACAGCTCTGGGAATTGGAGAAGGGTTTGATGGAAACTGAGACTTTGAATCTGACGGAATGTTCTGTAGATGTGGCTGTGCAGGTTAGTTTATCTTGGTTACTTTTGAAGAGCAAGTGAGAAGGGGACCTCTTTCTCAGACCAATCTATCAGTCCCATGGGATTTTTCTTTCAGGATCAAGGATATAACCTAAGGGGATGGTAGCTGTAATAAGTGTGGCATTTCAGGTACCAAAAGGTGTTTCAAGAGCCCAAAGGAACTTGGAAATAAAAAACTGAACAAGCTCAGGGCAGCTTTCCTCATTCTGATTTCTGTTAAGTATTTCTTTGTTTCCAAAACAAAATAATTGCTTTGGCTTTACCCCCTTTGTGCTTCCTGCCCCCTCTTGGTCACCAACACCCTGTTTGGTCTGTAGGGGATCATGATGCTAAGCCTTGGGGGCACCACTGGAGTTGTGCTCCATATTAAAGACTGGGGGTTTAGGGCTTACAGGAATGAAAAACCTCAGCCACAGGGGTTGGTTGGTTGCCCTTTCTGCATGTCCTGACTTAAGGGTGGTGTGAACTCAGCCTGTGTGCAGGTGTTCCCTTTTGGCTTGGTGTCTTAGGAATCTGACTGGAACACAGCCTGGCAGTTATAAACGATGGGCACTGTGTTTTAAGGAGCATATTCCAGTGTGATTTCTAACTTTCATGGCCATCAAATGTTTTGTTGTATGGCCAGCTACTTTCCTCCTTGAGCACAATCAAGGGTTGCTCATGGCCTTCCTAAGCTCCTTCCTCCATGCTGCATCCCAAGGAGATTTCAATGGCACTTCAGAAACAAGAGTGACTGATGCAGGTGAGTCACCTTCCTGGTGCAGGCTAACCCTGTCTTGGGACTATCCTCTAGGTCTCTCCCTAGAAAGAAAGGAGATTTAGTGATGAAGTTTATTGCTGGCTTTGCACGCAGCTCAGAACACTGGACAACAAGAGAAGCAGC